TAGAGTTTTCAGCGCCCAAGGACTACTGAAGATTTCGCGCCCCCTACTGCTTGCCAAGGATGGAAAACATTTAATTTTAAAATGTCCTAACATCAGTTTGGTGCCCCTTGGATTCTGCGCCCGGGGGCAGATGCCCCCCTCTAGCTATGCCCCTGGAAAGACTTCTATCAGTTAAATCAAAGGAAATTATTTGAAGCTAAGGTAAAGAAAGTTATTCATTTACCACCTATTATTTCAAACAATAGCAGACGGTTGACTAACACTGAGTGCAGATAAGAATAAAAAGATTAGTTGGATGATGTAATTCAAGCGTATGAACAAAATTTTGAATTCCTTGTAGTAACAAAATGAAGTTCATTGCTATGTTGAATTCTTTAATTTGCTGAAAATGTCATGTTTTAGAAGGAGAGAATATAATATTTTTGAAACATGATAAGAACAGCTTTTCTGAGTTCTTCATAGAAATATTTCACAAAATGTCTTTTACTGTAATAATATGATCATATCAACATGCAACACGTTTACTCATATTAGTTAAATCTAAAGCAACATGTGTCTATTTTAGCTAAAATTACTAAAAAGGAAGTTCTAGAACATATCTTATTAATTGACACTAAGACAGGCAAATAAAACATACTGTTTTTTTTTTTTTTTTCAGCTATTTTACAGGGCAAATATAAATTCCAGATGCCTTTCCATTATTTTATGTTGTAGATACATTGGGATGTTTTGGAAAAGTAAGAAAGATGAAAAATATGCAACGTCTTCGCCGGGAATCGAACCGTGGACCTTTGGAATACCGGCCCAGTGTGCAGAACCACTACACCACTAAAGCACGACAAGAAGGGGGGGAGAAATACCTTATATACTTCCCTTTTAAAGGGCGACTGGGGACCCAGTCGCCAAATCCTGAGTGTGGAGAATTATTATCCAACACCCTTTTAGTTCGGGCGCGACTGTAGAGACATTAGGATTCCTTGGAAAAGCCGGAGAGAAAAAAATATGCAACGCTTTCGCCGGGAATCGAACCGCGGACCTCTGGAATACCAGTCCAGTGTGCAGAACCACTACACCAAGAAGGTGGGAGAAATGCTTTATAATGTAAAGGATATACGTGTGATTTAATAAGGAGTAGCATATCAACTTAAACTTATAAATTAATCAAAATAATAATATGAAAGGTCTTTCAATAATATCAGACATAAGTTTCTCTTCATAAAATAAAAATCCTCTGCAACAGAATAATGTTACTTTTTGAAAAAGAACATTGAATGCTGTTGAAAGCACATCTTTTAAATTAATGCTATTCTGAGGTCAAATTGGCTAATTCAAAAAGCCAAACTATTATGCTTCACTTGCATATATCTGTATGTATACAGATATTCTTTTACTCAAGACATATTGACTTCAATATATTTCATTATAATAAGCATCATTTTAGACAAAAGATCTATTATAGTCATATCCTTTAGTATTTCACCTATGAAAAATATATTCTGCGTACATAATTACTTAATGGGATATTAGTAGGAAATAATCTGAAATCTTTACAGATAGAACGATTGGAAGTTTACAGAAGAAAAGTAGTATCTTCTAGTCACATAATAACTTGCTGTAATAATACAAGCAAATAACCTGTAATGGTTACAGATATATCTGTTGAGATTTTACATGAGAAAAACATGTTCTTTTTACATAATTATTTGCTGTAACATTACACGCAAATAATCTGTAACCATTACAGATAAATCGTTTGGGATTTTACATGAGAAAAACATGTTCTTTTTACATAATTATTTGCTGTAATATTACGCGCAAATAATCTGTAACCATTACAGGCAAAATTCTTGTAAAGTTACAAAGAATACACCTGTTACTGTTACTCAAATAACCCATGGCATCCCAGTTTCTATGAGTTTTCTTAGTAACCTTACAGATTTTTCTTTACAGTGCTTCACTGGTCACAGCGGGATACGCCATCCACTACCAAGTATATAAGAAATATAAAATCCTATTTGAAACTTCGCCCAAAAAAGAGTTAATCTTATGCGTAATGAACTTCTTTGAAGTATTAGTCAGAGGGTCATTTTTAATGGCTATTTTAAGAGTTTTCAGCTTCAATACCTTTATTTGATATATTATATCTTATGTAACAAAGTTCTGTAGCTGCGAACTTGCAATGCGTTTACATTTAGTCCTGCTTCGTTTAGAAGCGAAAATACTTCGTGTAAATCTTTAAAGTGTTCGTCAATAGTTTCACCAGTAATTATTATGTCGTCTAGATAGATAAATGTGCTTTTTCCTAGAAGTGGTCTCAAAATGATGTCCATCGCTTTCTGAAAAGTCGCGAGAGATCCGCATATGCCGAACAGCATCCTTAGGCAAAGCATAAACTCCGACTTTGCGATAAATGCGGCTTTCGGAACGTCTTTCTTTCTTTACGCCTATTTGAATATATCCTGTCATCAAATTTAAAGTAGTCGTAAATTTCGTTGATTTAACGAAAAACTTCTTCAATTATGGGACAAGATATTTCTTCACACTTAAGTTTTCGGTAATTAACTGCAAAACGCCATGCTCTAAAGTCAGTAGGTGGGAGATTATTTTTCTTCCTACATAGAACCAACGGACTAGCGTAAGGGCTACTTGTTGGATTGTGATTTTACTTTTAGCATTTCTGAAAATGCTGTTCTATAATTTGTTCCTTTTCTTTGTCGTAACGACAGGGCTTGCTCCTACTGGGGCCGCGTTGCTGGTATCAGTGCTGTGGTTAACAAACTGAGAGTTAACCAGACCTATCATTAGATAAAGTAGAAAACTGACCAAACTCTCCATCCTTTCCTTTCCATCCGCAACAAAATAGTTCATATCAGTCACAGGTGGCTGTGTTCTTCGTACTTTGCAGAAGATAAATGTAATAAATGTAATCGGTTATGGATTTTTGCCATAAGTATAATCGTTTTGTTTGAGAATACATTTATATGTGAACAGTTTTTCCCGCAGTTGAGAATTAGTTAAGTCCAAAATAAGACAAAAAGCATAGTATATTTGGCTATAGCAGGCTGACTATAATTCACGGATACGGATAGTTTCTAATAATTTTTTACCTATACAAACGTTACCAAAATCGAAACGCCATGATGTGTTGAAGCTGAAAACTGCAAAAAGGAAAAATATTGTTGCTGTGCTCACTTGTCTGACATATAGTCAGCCCAAGTCCACGAAATTACTCGTGGCAAAGAGCACAAGATTACCCCTGTCGTTGGCAACAGCCGTGAGCATTTAACAGGTGACAGTGCGATTTGTCTCAGTTCCGCCCCCCCCCCAATTTTAGTGGAGAGCATCCCGGGGACGAGTCCGAGGGTCTCCCACCTCTCTCCCCTTCCACCAAACCTCAAGAGAGGACTTTTGGCTCGCCGCATATTTTAAATGCCGTCATGCTGGACCTACACTATATATTTACAAACATCCATGCCTTCTGCGAGATTCGAACCCTGCACTTTCGGCACGACAGTCAGCGACGCTAACCAATATACTAGTTGGGCGGCAAAAGAGAAAAATTTGCAAATTTTACAAAATATGAAATAAAAATCTGAAAGCTTTCAGATTTTATATTACCCTGAAAGGGGCATTTTTTCTACGTTTTGTGGGTTACCTTTATTTATCAAATATCATATTCTTCGCACCTAAACCATAAAATTGAATTCAACAGCAATATCACAAAATATTTAAAGAGCATAGCTTTAGAATCTCCGATACACAGTCTCGCGCCTGAAGATAATTTTTTCCCCCTTACAGTGTTGCCACTGAACGTTTTGAAATCGTTGAGTTTCTTAATCAAAAACTTATAAATACTTTAAAAAATAGGAAATAGATAATAGAACAAATTCCAAATTTGGTCTTCCAGAGGCACATATGCGGGTGGAGACGTACGTTATTCAAAATTTGATGGCTGTAGGTACCATTGTTTTATTACAATGACAGAAACATACATACATTTATTCAGCTTCTTCATTATTTAATTTCTTTAAATGTAATATAGGGCTCTAATATATGGAAGTAACAATTTAAAAAGTGATTCGTCGTTTATAATGAATCAACGCAGAATGCCAAAACGAAATTAATAACCCTTCTGGGCCAACGTCGTTTGGGCTAATAAAGAAGTTCATAATTATTTACATTCAAATGCATTTATTTTTTCTGTGTGAATCAGAAAATATTTAATATTAAAAAGAAGAGAGAGAGAAAGAAGAAAGATAATAGGTCTTTATTCTCAAGTCTTGTCCCACGTGGAAATTTTTCGTACTTTGTTTAATTTAAGTAAGTTATTTAGTATTCCATTCAACATATTAGAGTTATTTGAAATGAATGTCAGTATTTAACTTTCAATACGTTTGAATTACAAAGCGTAATCAACAGAAATTTCTTGTAGATACCAAACTTTAGATTTCAGAAAGGAAACTAAATATAAATTGGAATTTTTTTCTTTTGCGTCATTATTATATTACTGTTTACGTATGCTTTGACAAATATTTAGTAAATGTAATTTTTATTTTAATTAAAAAATTGGTTTTGTAGAAAAAAAATTACTAAATTTTCTTGAAGGTTCTAAAAAAGTTTTTAAAATACTTAAATAAAAGTGTAAGTTTTTTTAAGGAATTTTTAAAACTGCCGCGTACAATTTGAGTTTGAGACCAATGGCCTATAGCGTTTATAATGAAGTAATGAAAGACGATTTTAGTAAACATTACGCACACATATTTAGATCTAAATTTTGTGAATAATTTAAGGAATTATTAATTCCTTGCACGAATGAGGAGGAGAAGCAAAGATTTTTGCTCCTCGATTAGAAACTTCGGTTCTATATGTTAGTAAATCATTTCTGATTAATACTATTATATAGTTTTGATTTAAATGAGTTAATGAAGTCCTTTGAAATTATCGTCCCTTTTTTCAATGACCTCGAAAATCTTTTGAAAAAAAGTGTGCTAATAAACTGGAATAATCCGGCTTGGCGCACATTGGCGTTGTTCTCTGATAGTGCAGCGTGCGGCAGTTCCACAAGCAACAACTGCTGACCAACTTGCACGTGGAAATACTTCCAAAGACCGGTGGAGCTTTTTGAAGACCTTAGAACGGGAGAGATCATGACAGGTGAGTTTCAAATTTCGTTCATTCTACTCACTATTCTATTTCTTTAACTTCTATGGTTCTTTCCGGTCAGCAAATAATTAAAAAATTGTAAGAACTGTAACAATTTATTTCTGGGGAGGGGCAATAAATTCGTCACTGCTATGTTCAATTTGACGGATATGGTAACAGTTTCTTAATTGCAATCATTTTCAGAACATTTACAATTTTTTTAAGGGATATTTCTAGAAATATTGTGTTCTAGAGGACGTGAAAGGTTTTAAATGACATAAAAACTTGTCTTGAAATTTGTCGTTTTGAGTCCAGTGAAATTTATTATTTCAGTATTAGTTGAAAATGCTTTCTCGTCTTTTCAAAGCGTAGAAAACATAGTTAAGAAATCTTTTCTGTAACTTTCAGATTAACATTTAAACAAAATTAAAAGAATAATTAAATATATCATATTGGGAATATCTTATGATTTTTAAACACTTTAAATTTTGTGAGAAAAGAATGAATGTACGGTAGTATTTTTTATATTGTTACCGGCAATGTTTGAAACGCCGGCAATCTGTAGAATACCTGGGTTTTAATAAAATGTCGGGTGCATTTAGGCAAAATATGAAATACGATATTTATTAAATACTTTCCTTAGGCATTTTATATACTATTTCGGCAGTTTATAGAAGGACAACTGCTATTTAGACAAAGTATGAAAAAAGGTCACGGTAAGGCTATTATTTAAAAGGCGCGCATTCATCGACCTATGTATGAATATACTGAATGTGTTGATATTCGAAATGAATCAAAGATTTATTTGAATACTTTGCCAGTTTGTTACTTGGCATTGCATAAAGCCCTAGGAATCCTTTCATACATTTTTATACTTTTCGCCACTTTTTGGCATTCTACAGATTCTCGGGTTTCATACATGGCCAGTAACATAGAAGAGAATATTTATACAATTAACTATTGATATTGCAGTAAATTATTTTGTCATACTGAGAATTTTTAATTCTTTAACATTTATTATTCATACGATGAAGTTAAATACTGTTGTGTTAACTTTTAGCCAAACGATATTCTTTTATTGCATTGATTAGGGAAATTCTTTTTTGGCAAGCGTAGGAAGAAAAATTGACATACTTTGTATTAGCTTTCGTGTATAAAGTTTCTGTAGCATTTAGAATAATCATTTCATTTTTAATGTACTGCGGTACACATTTTTATCCCCCGACACTTGTGTGTTTCAGTTTCGTCTACAAGTATCCAGTTTACTAAATAATGACTGTTTGAAGGACTTTTTCTTCCTCGTTTACTATTCATCATCGTTTTTTTTTTTTTTTTTTTTTTTTTCAAAACGGCTTGTTTGGGCAAAAGTTATTCGAAACGTTTTTGGCAAAAATTACAATTTATTATAAATTTTGAAAATAAGCTCGCATAAGTTTGCGCATACTTTGAATAAGCAGTTGGTATTTAATACAAACATGAAAGTGAGAGGACATACAAGAATTAGTTGGCTAAAATTACTTTTCTTGCGCTTTGACAAATTTAACCAATGTTCGTAACGTGTAAGAATGTTACACATTGTTCCTTTTCCACCATAGTTGAAGTTTTAGAACTGTTATGTTTTCTCCAAACTCTATAGGTTCGATAGAATTTAAGAACATGGAGCTGTTTTGATAACTTCTAGAGAGTTGTATAGGAAATATAAGCAAGCATTTAGGGCTGTATGTTTAGGATCATTATCCTGACAGAACTTAAATGTATTCTGCATTCCAAGTTTTCTTATAGATGTTTTCAGGTTGTCATTAAGGATATTTATGTATTATGTTATAGTAATTCATACGGGTTTCGATAAACACTAAATTTCTTATTTCAAAGGCAGGGAAACATCTCCAACCCATTATGCCTGTACCCTCGTGCTTAACATTAGGCAAAGGCTTTTCGAATTCAATTCTTAATCCAAATTTTACCACATGTTAATTAATCTGTCAGACCCAAATATAATAAATTTTTGACTTTGTTGTTCCAGTATTACATAACTTTGCTTACCATGCATTTTGCTAATGAATTTTAATCCAAATAGTGTCTCCAAATTCCGATTACTATAAAATAAAATAATATATTTCTTTTCCTACCGAAAAAAAAGTTGCTTTCAATGGAGTATTAATTGAAACAACTGCAACAGTGTAAAATCTGAAAAATAACTTTGACAGTTGTTTTGAAGGCTCAGCAGCAGCCGAGAGTTAAAAGTCGTTGAATACTTGTAGTTCGACAGAGGCGCAAATCTCGCCCAACGCGTATGGGCATTTTCGTGATTTTCCCCGTGTGTAAAATGAAAACATGAGTTTCCTTTAGGAGGTTCTCTCCGAAGGCGTCCCATCCCATAGACAGCCTTTCCGAAATTTAGTATAATAAAAATTATTATTTTGAATTGTAGAGTCGTAGGAAAGCACTGGACATCAGAATTTAGGGGCGACAATTTTTTTTTTTTTAACTTAATGATGCACTGAGAAGCAGAATTTAGAATCCGCAGAAGAACGCATGAGCTGTAAAACATCTAGCGCAAACCCTAATTAAGTTATGAATTTGTCATCCAAGAGTATTGATAAAAGTTTTCACCACAGGAAAAATTTCACTTCTTACAGAGATTTTTAACCACGGGCCATAAGTTTTAATTCTCAGCTTAATTTTAATAATCTATAAAAATTTACTGATCTTTTCACATATGAGTGAATTTAACCGACAATCACCGGTGATAAATGACCTTGATGGCCACTCGAAGCCGAGCGAATAAAAGCACTGAAAACTTGTAGTTCAGCATAGGAAGTCGTTCACGAAGGCATACATAGATAGCTCTCGTGTACTTTGCCTTAGTCACTTTACATTAAAATTTGGATTCATAAATTGAATTTATTCTCTTATTACTAGGGCCGAGTGGTTAAAACCGCTGAATACCGGAAGCTCGACCTGGTTTGCGATCGATTCCAGGCGAATGTATTGGCTGCATAGTCAGTTTTCTTAGTTTTCCCCCTGTGAAACATTAATACGAACTAGTTCAGAAGTCAAACAACAAAAATCAGTTCTTCCATTGGAGAACTGGATTTTCTAGAGGCATTTCACATTCATAAAAATCTTTCTGTTCTAGTTAACGATCCTAATTCCAATCCAAATTTGCCTTCGGCTTTTAGAGAAATTATGTTTTAGTTCTGGTTTCGCCAACAGATGGCGCCACTTGCTTATTCTTGTCCAGGCTTTCTTATCTTATCTAATCATTATTTCCTATCTTGTTCATTTGCGGTTTTGCAGCTGAAGATGATGGTTCGGTAAAACCATCGAAACTAGTCAAAAAAACTGATTTCTGTTGTTTGACTTCTGAATTAGTTTATTCGATGAACTAGTTTTTCTCGAAGTTTCTCATGAAGACATCCGACACCTCTTATGCAGCCAACCGTCGTTGCTTTGCGGTATTCAGATAGCCTAACTTAACCCTGTACTTGTCCTATGCAGGTGACCTGTAGGTTAGTTATGCCTTTAGCTTTAATATTAATAACCTGATATAATGTAAAATGCATTTAGTTTCTAATGTGTTCAACTGAATTTTTAAGTTGCCGAGCGGATAAAAAGCACTGAAAATTGCTAGTTCAACTAATATTTAAATCCAGGTGAAAGATCAGTTCGCAAGAGTGTTTTCGTAATTTTCCGCATGTATACCGTAAGTACCAGTCAATTTTCCTCAGAAAGTCGTCCACGAAAGAATTTGATATGACAGGAAATGAAACGAACAAAAACAGTTCACATAAAAGCAAGTCACGTAAAATCTCACCACACCGTTATGATTTCCAGCTAAAAATAAGCGCGAGTTATACCCCATAAAAATCTATAAATCGTGCTAATTAATTTACATGAGATTAATCTTATTCAAAATTTGAAGATGCAGATTTCATTAACTTTTATTTCTACTTGTCAAAATTTCCGAATACATTTATGTGGGAACATTTTTTTTTAAGTTGAAAATTAATAACCTGAAGAATCAGGCTTATCGGTGAGATTCTATACTTCGTGATAAATTTCTAGTTGATTTCTCTAAGGTAGCAAACTATCGTAATCAAAACGAAATGAGGAGTTGTAGAGGAAAATTGCAGCAAAAAATAAAATCCTTTACAATTATTGACAAAGATATGCCTTTTCCGTATACGTCGAACACAATTTAATAAATAAGAAAGTTAATAGATTGTCATTGTTTGTTCTCAAGTTTTGTCTTACAGCTTCGTAATTTGTTTATTTTTCAGTTTTAAAGTGATTAAATAGTTCATCTTACATATCAGAATTATTTTAAATAAACGTCAGAGTGCAAATTAACTATCCTCGATACGTTTTAATTACGAAGCATAATCAAGAAAAATTTCATTCGGATCCCAAACTTCGAATTAAACCGAAAATTAATATAAATTGGATTTTTTCCTTTGCGTTTTTATTACCGTTTATGTATGCTTTAATAAATATATAATAAATAAAATTCAGAGTACAGTTTAACCAATTTTTGTAAAAAATAAAACTTTTCATTTTAGGGTGTGGAGAAGAGAAAAATTCTGGCCCCTTAGTTGTTTTCGGATTGTGCATTCAGCCCGCATGCAGTTCGATTTCAAACCATTGCCATGTGCTACGTTTCTGATATATGTTCCTATAAACTAATTGTTATAATCATTACAAAAATTTAAAGAAAAAGTTTCATGATTTGGTGCCCCAGAAAAAACTACAAATGAAGCTAATTAATTTTCACTATAACTATTTTCTCTATTCGATATAAATCTTATTCAAAGATTTGAAGAGATCTGTTTAACTTTTATTCGTGCTTGTCAAAAGGTAAAGACACTCGGTTATTAATTTGCGTACTAAGAGGAACCGTTTCGTTTGGAAATGCATTGAAATAACTTTTATTTATAGTTGAACATCAATAAGAAAAGAACCTAATTGACTGACGAGCATCTACAATCCGCGATGATAATTTCTAGGATTTTTTTTCCTTTCTCAGACTATAAATGATATGAGGGTCAAAACGGCATCATTTAGTTGTAAAAAGAAATAAAGAAGAGCGTAATTAAGATGTTAGATGCAAACTTAATTATGCATCGAAAGAGAAACTTAATAAATAAGAGAGACAAAATTATTATTCTCAAGTTTTGTCAAACTTAATAAAGTTCCTCTGAAACTTTAAAGTATTCATACTTCTTTTGTTTTTAGTTTAAAGTGAGTTATTTGATTAATTTAACATGTTAGAATTATTTCAACAAAATGCCAGTCTAAGAATTTAATATTTAGCCTTTTAAATTACAAAGTGTCGTCAACAGTGCCGTACTTTAGATTTCAGATCAGTATGTAAGTTTGAAATTTTTCCTTTGGCATATTATCGCTACTGTTTATTTTAAGTTTTGATAACTATTTAATATACAATCTGTTTAAAATATTTTATATTGTGTTTTTTATTTTTATTAATAAAATTTTTCATTTTGTTAAAAACAAATTCTGGCCCGTCAGCTGCTTTTAAATCCTGTAGTTCGGCGCGCATGCAGTTTAAGTTTTAGGTTACAGAAAACTTCTACTTAAGTCGAAATGAGTTCATGACGAAAGTAAGGTTTTTTTTTTTCTCCCATGAAATTTTAAGCTTGCAGTGTAACTGTAGAAAATTGTTTGGCGCGTACTGTCCCCAAAACGGAACAGATCGATGAATTTTCATGAACATTTGCTACATTATTTTAAAGAATAAAAGTTGTTCATAACACCATGTATCTCGTACAGAATAAATTTTAGTTTACATTTCTTGGAGCATAATTTAGAAAGCTGTTAAGTACTGCCATCGCCTTAGCCGAATTTCATATCTTACAGTAGAAAAATTTTTAGTTTCGCAAAACTAAAGAAAAAAAAACAAAAGTGATGTCTTGTTCAAGAAACTTATATTTTTATCATTTTCAAGGTGGCGTGGGAAATCCTGGCAACGGCCATTGTGAGAAGATCAGAGATTTTAATCACGTTCTAGTCACCGGAGGAGCGGGTTACATAGGCTCCGTGCTTGTGCCTTTGTTGCTCAAGGAAGGTTTGGAGGTGAGTAATGTCTCTTATTTTTTTTTTTTTTCGTTCGAATTCCTGTTCTTTTTTTTCTACAGACTTTCACCGTTTGCTCAGATGAATCTTAATGTCTACTATTAAATAATGAAAAATTTGTTTCCATGTTCCTCGCATTGTGGGGGGGGGATGGCACCTAAAGACAGAAAATTTTTAATACACTTGGTCCTTCACAAGCACATGGGCACCTCAAGGCCAAATTTCGAATTTGTTTTATAAATTTTATTTCATATTTTGTAAAATTTTAACAATATTTGATTAACAAACTTGACTATCAGTGACTGAAATGCAATAAACGTAGTTCTTAAAATATTTTCTACTTAATCTGATTGATTTAAACAAAAATGCCTTATCTCTACTCCTAAATAATGAAGAATATGCACAGTAGGCGCCGCTTAATGTGATCAGATTTGTTGACGCTGTTTTGATAACTTTAAACGATTAAAAAAATAGCCTACGAAATAATACTGAGATTTAACCAATTTAAAGTAAATACCATCAGAAACGTATAAATAGTTTCACAGTATTTTTTCAGAAAATGTAAGTTTCTTTATGAACTCCTCATAATGTTTTCATAACTTCTCATAAGCTTAGTTATGAACAGTTAATAAATTCTAGAAAGCATTTAGTGATGCTGTACTCCTAATACTCATTGGAAAAAAACATCAATGTAAAATTTAGGCAAAAAGTAGCCTCGTGGATTTGAGCCAGCTTTCCTTAGAAGGCCCTCCAGGAAGGCATCCTTCCTCTTAGGCAGGTAATTCTCGCGTGGCATCCCTCCTCTTAGGCAGATAGTTCTCGCGTGCTTTGTCATAATTAATTGGAGCAAATCAAACTTTAATATATTTGATGTCATCCCATCGGCCTTGAATTAGTCTGGCGCATAATAACCTTCAAGGTTTTGTGCCATTAAAAGTCAGCCAACCCATCGACATTGAAATTGTCGCCAAGCAGTGTGATTTAGCTTCAGTTATGGATAAACGTGACATTCACAATATCTGTGCTTGCTTTCATTTGATGTAACCCACACTATTCTCAATAAGCCACTTTTTCTTATGAAGGATATCGCTGGTCTGCCACTAGTCTGCTGTTTCAAATGTAAACAATCAATGGCCGCCATAAAAAAAATGGCTTAGCGGCACTTAAACAACTTTAAAATTGTTCATAATTCTAAAAATATAGCACACAGATTTACTAAAGGCATAAAAACCTTAACCGGAAGATAAAAACAATATAATTCAATCATTTTTCAAGCAAAAAATGTACAATTTACAAGCATATAAGAGTAAAGAAAGTGAGATCACTGAGCCGGGTAACAGAGTGGATATATATATGTAAATATATTTATATATGTTTGGTGCTGCCGATTACAACCAAAATACGAGGTGCACATCTACATGCTATATCAGTCCTATATACAAAATTTCAACGTTCTGAGGCTACTCGTTTTTGAGTTATGCGAGATACGTACGTACATACGTTCGTACAAACGCCACGAAAAATTCTCTTCAGAATTCATTTTAAAGCAGTTTTATAATTTTTTTGGAGGAAACGAGTATTTTTTTCTGTTCTTACGTACAGATATCACGCAAAAACATCGTTAAATTGCATTCGATAGCGGTCAAAATGGATATTTTCGTTGAAATATGCTGCCTGAAACTTTTCGCGATTACAATACTTCCTTTTTACTTCGTACAAGGAAGTAAAAATACTTAGATAAATAAGCTTTCTTTCACTTCTAGGGATTTTCTCTGTGTAGAAGTGTGCGAACATTCAAAATGGGAATCAGCTTATGAACATGAAATTTAGACTATCCAATTAAATGCTAATATATTTTATATCAGAATTATTATTAAAATCAGTTCAATAACCTGAACGGTGCATTATAAAGTGAATTAGTCATTTCGTAGTTCCTTTAAAATGATGCTGCAACATGAAAACCTTCCGGTTTTTAAAGATTTCAAGATTGGCTAGTATGCAGTGTTGGACGATTTTACCGCTCGGCTGCTGGTGGCAAGACACAAATTTTCACTTGCGCAGCTTTTAGGCGAACAAAGGTATTTGTCACCAAGTACATTAAAATGTTACTATATAAAACTATAAAATTAGGCGTAAATAACCTTAGGTGAATATTTTAGTGAAGACTGTATCGATTTCGATGGCAAATAGGTAAGTTATCAGGAGCAAAGAAATCTGCAACGAGAGAGTTTGTTTTGTATTGGCGTGTTTCTTTTCTCTTATATGAAAATTACTTAATGGTGTATCTTCTGAACTTGAAATAATTCATAGGCATCGACATTAGCATTTTACTTGATTCTTTTTTTAATAGCTTCTTTAACACACTCTTTTTTTTTAAATCTTATTCGTTATTTTTAGTTTAGCTTTAAAATTCTTGAGAACTTAAAGCTGTGACTGGATAATTCATGTTTGGAGTTGATTCCGTGCAATGTTCTACTCACCAGCAGCCGTGCGATTGAGTCGCTGAACACTGTTAGTTCAGCCTGAGGCTCGAATCCCTCGAACGGGGCTGGCTACATAAGCGTTTTCGTGGTTCTTCTCATGTGTAACATGCATACGAGCCAGTTTTCCTTAGAAGGCCCTGTACGAAGGCATTCCATCCCCTTAAGCAAACAGCTCTCGAGTGCTTTGTCATAAAAAATTGACCAAACTGTGCATTATCCAGAAGGTAGTGACAGTGGTAGCCCGATAGTTATCGAAGCTCGAGGCCAACATGTTTCCGAGGTCTTCTCTTATTGGAATGCTCACCATGCAGAATGTCAACCCAAATATATAAACATTTTGTATTCAATCGAAATAGTCTCAAATATCGCTATTTTTTCGGAATCGCTTTTCAGATTTTGGCACCGAATTTTATCGCCATGTAGTTTTAAAGAAATAACACGATGAAAGTTTAAAAAAGTATGCCTTCTATTGGAAATTTGAAGACGAGCTATTTTTAAATATTTTGTGATTCTGCTGTTAAATTTTATGCGGCGTATGCGATAATTAATAATAAAGTTAAAAGCACAAATAAGTTGTATAAGCCATCTTGTTAATAAAAAGGTACTGATAGAATGAATTAAGAAAAGACTCGGAAAAATAGAAAAATGGATGCAACACTAACACTCTATCGGGAATTCTAAAGATGTGCTATTTATAAATATTTTGTTATCTTGGCGTATGCGCCAAGAATAGTATGTTAACTTTATTACTGTATGTGGGGTAAGTTCAAAATGTGGGGTAAGTATGTGGGGTAAGTTGTCACGTTAGGAGCGAGTCCAATAACAAATTGGAAACCTGCGGCGCTCAGCGAGATAAAAAAAAAAAACTTAACAAATTTAGTACGACGTTCTTAACTTAATTCATTGCAAAAGTTTGCGTATCTTGTTTAATATTTTGTTCAAGGCTAGTTTGCATTTCTTTCGAGTTTAAATTCTGGAGGATGGGTGGTTCATAGTTAATCAGTAGCATCAGTTTTAATATGCATACTTTTTCGAACAAAACTCGAATTTTCGATCTTTGTAGAGTATCTTAGCACGACTTCCATGCACACAGGATTCTTTGCAATTTCTCATGCTTATCTTATATTAGAAAAAGAGAATGTATATGCTAAGAATGCAGTCAGTTGATCAAGGTCAAAGGATTTCTCCTTTTCCCACCTATTTACGAGTAAGTATCTCATTGTTCGCAAAGTTTGAGTTATGTTGGAAAGTAAAACGATGGATCCACCTTCGTTTAATATTTACCTAATATTATTCACCTATTATTAATTTCGTGTAATATTATCACCAAGTCTCATTATGTACTACAAATCGTCAGAAGTTTGATTTTCTATTTGTTAGAGAACCGAGGTCTTATTAATCATTAAATAATTGAATGTGTGTATGTTCCTCGCGTTATGGCGAAACGATGACACCAAATTTCGAACACAAGGGTTTTACTATACAAGAATAATTTCTGCGGGTAGAAAGCCGATTAGCAGTTCCATTTTCTGCTACCTGCCAAGCATTTTAATGAGCAATTAATTTCTTTTATCTTCTGTTTCTATTTCCATGTAAATTTATCAGTAAACTTAAAAGCGTAAATGAAGAACATTTTAAAAACTAAACATAATTAGTTTATTTTATGCATAATTTATTCAAAAAATAACATTGTCAGAAATATATATAAAAAGGAGCTCTTTTTGTCATTTTAAGCAAATGAGCTTAGTCAAGAATTCTGGTGTTATGCATGATTTTTCCAGTTAAGGAAAAAAACCTGACAGCTTAAGGTTTTATGCGTTTTTTAACGTTTTATGTGTTATCTTTATTAAACAGCATGTTCTTCCCACTTAAACTGCATAAATTCAATTCAACAGCAATATCACAAAATATTTAAAAAAACAGCATATCTTTAGAATTTCCGAGAGACATCCTCATGCGCTGGAGATAAATGTTATTTTCGTACAGTGTTGCTACTGCCCGCTTTGAAATCGTTGAGTTTGTTAATCAAAAATTTACAAAATATGAAATGGATAATAAAACAAATTCGAAATTCGGTCTTCCAGGTCCGCATGTTCGGGTGGAGGATAACGTTATTCAAAATGTGATGGCTCTAAGTACCACCGTTTTTCCACAGTGCGAGAAACATACATATATTCATGCAGATTTCATTATTTAATTTCTTTAAATATAATACAGAGCTTTAATATTTGGTGGTAACAATTTAAAAACTGATTCGCCGTTTATAGTGAACCGACGCAAAATACCAAAACAAAATTAATAGCCCTTCTGGGCTAATGAGAAAATTTTTATATGATAACAAAGAATTCGCCAACTTATGATTTGATAAAATAGAATTTGGTACAATGGTACAAATTAAGTTGGTATAAATTTTAAATTCGTGGTAACTTAATGCATTTTTTTTTTTTTTTTTTTTCCATTTCTGTTGGAACATTTTGGAAATCGCTTATAAAATAGCTTCGAGGAGTTTTTTTTTAT